TAGAATTCCTGGTATTAACGATAACTCGCTATAACGATGAAAATGTGACCTAACGGGAGTATCGTTATATCCAGTCTTGACTGTATTTGTATAGCCACCTTTGGCTTTTAGAACAGCAGCAACACGTCTAGACATGCTTGTGATTAAATCTATACAAATTTGTGATGGAATCTTATTCCACTCAGCCTCCACACATTCCTACAGCTCATGCATACTAATGGGGTCATTCTCATAGGTGGCAAGCCGTTGTTTAAGGTGTTGCCACAATGCTCAATAGGATTTAGGTCTGGTGACTGTGCAGGCCAGTTCAGCATCTCAACACCATTGTCTTTAAACCATTTTTGAGCAGCATAAGAGGTATGTTTAGGGTCATTATCCTGTTGGAAAATAACCTTATCCACTTCCATCTCATAATACTCTAGGATTTGAAGAAATTCATCTTCAAGAATGCATGTATAGAACATGCATAACCAACCCCTTGAGCTGTCATACAACTCCAGATTATAAGACTTCCACCACTGAATTTAACTGTCTCTTTGACATGTTGCTCTGTCAACATACTGCCAGGCTTCTTCCACACCCACTCACGTCCATCTGACCCTAGACGGTTAATCTTAGTTTCATCGGACCAAATAACACGCTTCCAGTCTTCCACAGTCCAATATTAATATTGGTATTTTGTTGCGAAGTCAAGCCGTTGGCGGACATGTCTTGGCAAAAGTCGTGGCTTTTTTTTCTTTTTGCTGCCTTTAACCCAGCTTCTTTTAAGGCACGGCGTACTGCCTGGGCACTGACTTCTATATTGCTGACATCCCTTAGCTCACGGGGGAGCTGGACAGCAATATCTGCCTTGCCTGAAGTAATTGTGCGAAGTAGCCTATGCTTATCGGTGGCGTTAAGTTTTGTCAGTCGTCCACCACAACTTTTCTGTATATCCGTTCTCAATTTTTTACGTATCCTATCGATGCTGACACCTAATTGTGCAGTGATGAAAGTCCATTATCAAGTAGTGACAAGATATTATTACGAGTTTCTTCGGAAATAGGCTTCATAATGCAACAAAATCTAAGAGGAAGAGGAAATACGCGTTTTTTATGAATTAAAAAGTGTAAATAATCTTTTTGGTAAGTTTAAACGCGTTCCGATGTTTGCATTACATGTTACAAATGCACAATAGGTAATGGGTTACAAAACTGGCTCAATGCGCTGATAAACTTTAAAAATTCATAACTCAAAAAGTTTCGAATTTTTTTCAATAAAATAAAATTACATTAAAAGCCAGAAAGCAAGACTATATTCAGTTTAAATTTTATTTATTTTGGTTGGATAGTTGTGGAGTTATAGGCCTATACATTTAATTCTTTCAAACATTGAGCCGGTTTGTGAGTCACTGTATGCACGCTCCAGCTATTCAGTATTCCCAAGGGGCGCGCATATATGGAGGGTAGACTGTATAACTGCTTTTTGATAATCTGTTTCTATGCTAATACTTTTCTATATAAATAACCAAGCTTAAACTGTGCACCAGCATCTCCTTGTTCAGATGCTTTTTGATACCTTTTGATCATCTTTTCTCACCCCAGTTCCATAGTGATAACACCAACCAAGGTTAAATTGTATATCAGCATTTCCTTGTTCAGCTGCTTTTTGATACCATTCAAATGCCTTTTGTTTATCTTTTTCTATTACTATTCCAGTTCCATCATGATAACACACCCCAAGATTATATTGTGCATCAGCATCACCTTGTGTCAGCGGTTTTCTTCGCGACAATAGGGTCGATGCTTAGTGATGAGGCCACCGACTTAGTCAACTTTATTATACTACTTAAGTATATCTTTATAATTCTATCTTTAAGATCAGAGACATAACTAATTATTTCTTGGGAAATAATTTCCTTCTTGCTAGACGAATGATTTTACGTTAACTATTATCTTTTATAATTCATGTTTCGCAGTACACTTGTTTGCAGACTTACATTGGGATCGTGTCTCGAATATATCTTAGGCAACAGATATATCCTCCATCGGCCTTTCTATACTATCCGTAATAATTATAACATATATAACAACTAAATAAGAATTACAACACTTCAAATCTAATCGCTACTCTTAATGGCCTATTAATTTCGTTAATATTTATTTAGAGAATTAATAACATCACTGTTTCATCATATATTACCGAAGGTCAGGTTCAACAGATGTTCCTGGTAAAACGTAGCGGACGAAGAAATGCCGTTCATATACAGTATACGCGTATAATATCTAATACCCGCTATATATTATATCGTAGATATTATTTCGTTAATGAAGGTTAGTTTCAGCCTCAACGTTAATATTTCTCTTTCCACTGTAATGCTCCGATTGGATTTTCATCAAGAGTATCCGCATTTCGTTTCGTGTTTCTATCACACTCTACTAACATTTTGGCATAGGTTCCCCCATTTACATTAAAAACGTAATATTTATTTTAACTTGAACAGAATAACGATAAATGGACAATAGCGATATTTACAATAACGATAAATGGACAATAACGATGGATTCACAATAACTTTTTGTTGTATATTACGAGTATCAACCTTCTAACGAGTATATTAAACTCTCGGTGTTATACATCGTCTTTATTATTACAAACGCCTTTTCTGTATTAATTTTTCTAAACTGAACACTTCTCATGCTTCCCTTATTAGTCACCAAGATGTTACAACAAAGCATCGATAGACGAATACTCTGCTATTTGTCTTATCAATCGCGAAGAACTTATATGCAAGTGTCAATTCAGAAAATAATATAATAACTTGAATACTTCTCATGCCCTGCTTATTAATCGCCATGATACCCGCAACGATTAGGTAACGGAAAATCGGTCACGGGGATTTCAGCATCAGCCGTGACAATCAATAACGGATATTATTACAAGAGATAGTAAATCGACACTTGGGATTTAGCTATCGTCAGCGGAGCGGATTAAGTCAGTAGTCTGTTTGGGGTCTCAAAACTAAATAAATGTAAACGCATTTCTAAAACAATTAAATTATCGTAATAAATGCCATTCGGGACAAGAGACAATTATCCTCCGCCGATATAGAGATTAGCCTATACCGATCAATTCAAAGAAACTAAGCAATAATATGCGTATTCAGAGTAAATGAGATACTTGTTTATTAACACTTTCGATCGTGGAGGCCGTGTTAACGAGCAGAACGCCCGCGAGGACCTCCACGGAAACTCCTTCCTCTTCCTCCTCTTGCTGTAAATTGGGGGGGGACACATTAATAACGATATCCTTACACAATTTACATTATAGCCATGCACATACCTTGTGCACGTGCAACAGTAGCCTTTCCTCTTCCCAGACCGATTCCTCTGCCTTTCATAGCATTCGGACCGACCTTCTTAAACATAGGCGCGTTTTTCAACATATCCGGTACAATGAAGAACCGAACATGTGATCCTCTAATATAGACTTGGTCTAACTGTGATACTCGTCCGTCCCTAGCTGTGACAGTAATGTCTCTCAACTGGACATTCATGTTATCTTCAGCTGTTATGAAAGGAAGAAAGTTGTGTGTAAGTACACGAATCAGGCAGGGAACAAAATAGCCAAGGTTAAGCAAGCATTCACCAGCCTTCCGACAGCATTCCCCTGTACACCGTGCCGTTGTTAAGCTCCAGAGTTATGACGTGACCTTGAGCTTCATGCAACAGCTTAATAGGCACACCGATCGACATTGTAAAAACTCTTGGCAGTGAAGCAATTGAAAAAGTTTGCTTCCCCCGTTTCGACTCGGTATTATTTGATACATCACCTTCCACTAACCAAACACGGCATATTTGTGTAACAATATCAATCATATCAATCATATTAATAATAGTGATAGACTTTTAATCTCGCGGCAGACCTTGACATTATGACAATGAGCTTGGCGGGTACCAAAACCGCTAGTCTTTCACGTATAGATTTACACCACGCTCTACTCGATTCAGAAGCTGATTTCTCCTTTAAGAAGTAAGTTCATATACCTTATTTCTGTCTATTAATGTGTGCCACTTGTAATAAATACGATTGGCTGTACCAGGTGCATGTTCATTGTTGGCAGTCATACAAAAGCTATGAATTCGAGATGTACCAAACAAACAACGTGGATATTTATATTTGTCATTATCAAGCACACCAATCGAGGAAGGATAATCAAATCATAACCGTCATGTATTGTATGCTTTGTACTAACTAGAACATATAAAAACATGAGACATTCTTTCGTCACGAATTTTGCCCCTCCTTGTTCTCCTCCATTTTCCTTCTTCACTTTCCTTTATCATTTCTTACTTTCCCCTTAGTCCCCCGTTCAGGGATCCATTTTGACGCTGGCTGCATAATTTTCCTTCCCTTGCTCGATCCTCTCGACATCCCTCCCCACCCCCTCCCACTCCTCACCATCAAATTCGAACTATACACAATCCTTCCTAACTTCCGAAGGGGTTTCATCAGAATGAATTCAACCATGTGGATAAGTGTTTTTTTATTTATCCTTGGTTTTGTTAGTCCTGTGATATCGCAATCGCCCAGCGTCACTCCGCGATACGGCCACACAGCGACTATAGTCGATAATACCTTATATATAATCGGAGGGAAATCTGACCAAAGTACCTTTGTATCAGAGATGATTACTATCGATTTGACACAGTCAATTAATGCTACCGATCCCAATTGGGTTGTAGTAAATTCAAAAGACATACCAAAAGTTAGTGGACATTCCGCTGTGGCCGGCGGAGCATCTTTGAAGGAAATTGTTGTCTTTGGAGGACTAGAACCAATGCCAATGGCTCAACAAAGTCTTTTTGTATATAGCACTGCAAATAACACTTGGGATAACTTACAACTTCCCCAGGAGCCCGTGCGTCGATATCAGCATTCGGCGATCGTTAATGCAACAGGTCACATGATCTTGTTTGGCGGAATGATAGACTCGAGTGTAGGTGCAGTGGCTTCCTACGTTGCAGACGAGTTCTGGATATTTGATACTGTCATGTTAAATCAATGGTATGGATTTCCGTGTATTTCTACTACGCCTGGAAGGAGACAACGGCATACTGCAAGTGTGATTGGGACGAAAATGTTTATTATTGGTGGGATATCTGAAACCGGTGCTCTTATCGATATGGATGACGCGTATGTTTATGATATGATTTCAGCTGTCTGGTCGTCACAGCCTGTCGAAGGCCTTATTCCAAAAATGAGATGTGATCACACTGCTGTTGGTGAGTTGAACTATCTAATTGCCGGACGTTTCCATATATTGATATGAACTAATACATGTAATTTAATAGTATATAAGGATACAATTATAATATATGGTGGGACGACAACTGAAGGAGATACATTCGGAGATGTCGCTGTGTTGAATACGACATCTTTATTGTGGACTTTACCAGATACGGTGAACCCTCCGCCTCCTAGATGGAAGCACTCTGCAAGTATAATTGGTGATAATATGCTTGTAGCCTTCGGTAAGCCATATACAATCCAATTTCGCCTTGCGTCTTGACTTTTTGGTAATACAAATCGAATTCTGCTATACTACGATAATAATTGTAATAATATTTATTTATTCAACTTAGGACGAGTTGGTGCAGAAGCCGACTCGCATATGTATATATTAACAATCAGCAACTGGACATGGACTAACGCATTTGGTTCATCCGGAGTTCCCCCATGTAATAATAACCCTACAAATACACAACCAACCGCTCCAGTTGTAGAAAAGTGGAGCCACAAAAATCTCTGGATAGGACTTTTGGCTGGTGCAGCTGTGTTGATCGCCGCTCTATTGGCTATAATATTTATCATTCTCAGACGCAAAAAAGAACCACCAGAACAGACATTCGAAGTGATTCGTCATAATTTCCGTAACAATGAAATATTTCCCCCAATGTCTGCCGTCACAACACGGAATCGGCCATCCAATATACGCGTAATAGACTCCCCTTACACGGATCGATTCTCAGTCCCGTCAACGCCTCTCACCCCGGGCACCCCAGGGACGCCCGGAACGCCTGGGACGCCAAACTCGATCTGTAAATTACTATCAAATTTGAGTCCACGTGTCTCGAGGCAATTCAATTTCAATTGCACATCAGATACACTACCATCGCCTTCATTATCCTCTGATGACGTTAGTATACTTGATATTCCACGAGAAATTAGTTCGATACAAGGGTCGTTAGAACGGTACGCAGAAGGTTCTGGAAGAAGCCTTGGATCTCTAGATCAAATCGATGGAATTGATTATGATGTACAAACAAGGGATAGTATTATTGTTAATAGGTTACCGCTTATTGTAGTTAATCCTGATCGACGGACGGATTCGGAAGAAGAATAGACCATAGATACTGTATCAGAATTTGGCATTAATTTCACCACAAAATAAAATCTCTGTTCTGTTTTTTCGTTATGTAAAATCATTAATTTTTGGGAACCAATAATTGATTTTAATACCCTGGTACTCCTGTAAGGGGGTACCACAATTGCTAAAAAGTGTGTGACACGACGCGAAATAATATTGACATGTCAAAGTGTAACTGAGTTTATGTACACAGTAAAGTTCGGTTTAACGAAGGTCCGGTTTAACGAAGGTCCGGTTTAACGAAGGTCCAGTTTAACGAAGATGGCTTTATAACGAAGTTTTTTTTGGAACCGTTTCATTCATATATTTAATTATAAAAATAGAGTCCGCTTAACGAATAGTGAAGTCAGGCGATGGGAACGGAGCATTTCGTTAAACGTGTATGTATTACATATGTATGTATTGATCATAATGATAAATTGCATCATAACATTATGCTAACGTGTACACATGTACTTTCAATCAATACTAACAGAAAAATACACATATGGAGCTTTATCGGGTTAATCAATGACGATCATCAACAGTCAATAATAATAATAATAATAATAATAATAATAATAATAATTTCCGATATAACTAACACGAATGGACTAATTTGGACTGTAATAATAGCATAGTATTGGTCACACAATGATGATCAAATGTTTCGTACGAAAATCCATAAACCTTTTTTTTGTTAGTGAAAAACGACAATGCGTGGCATGATTGTCGGTCTCCACAAGGGAAATCACACTGTTCACAGACATTGAAAAAATTTAAAATACCTCAAACGACTTGTAAAAAAGATTGAGACTGTATCTGGCTTCCTCATTTAAAAGCGTGACATCTCTGACCGAATAATCCTCGTGACACGTCGGGAAATATACGTAATCAAAATCTTGCATTTGTGTTTTATTCTGTTGTTAATGGTAATAGTAATACTAATAGATAAGCTGTAAAAAAATGTCTCAAACCGCGTAAATTAAAATATTCAACGTTTTAATTACATATACATTACTCGTCACAGAGGCATTTTTGTTGTTGTACAATATAGTTTACTGAAATTGGAAGATTTGGAATAGGATGAAGAAGAAAAACGCTAATATAAATAATAGGGGTACTCTAACATAATCTCAATAGGGTAAATTTTACAAAGAACTATAAATTTATTTTTTAAGTATGTATTATTCTTCGACATACCTGTTTTTACTACCTCAGAATAAGGGCAAAAAGTTTTTTATTAATGGCTAAAATGCAGATAGCATAATAATAACAAACTTAAAAAATTAAGGGGCAAATTCGAAAAAGTATCGACTATTGTACGTATTTACTATGTAAGTCACGACGATTTTTAAGAAGATAATTGATTGTACTATGATGCAAAAATTATTATGACTTACATAGTAAATATATGCAATAGAGCTCTTTGAAGAAAAAGATTATGTTTTACTTTACGGTGAGTGTAGGCCTACAGACTAAGGGATAGTTGTAACTCCGTACTAATATCAATTTTTCAAGTTCTGCCACTTTCTTCAATATACGCACAAGGTGTACGTACAGGCAGTTGCACGGGCAGTTATACAAGTCGCTCTCATACAGGCAGTAAACAATCGATTAATTTAATTGATTAGACATATAAGAAGCGCAAATTTTCCGTTAGAATTCATGTCCATAGAATGCTCCTTGATGGTCACATAATATTTGATTAATATTATTAAACGGATAGTTCTTTATACTCTGAAAGACATTTTCTGGTAATTTATCGGTATAGTTATGAATTACTAATACTAATCCCTATACCGAATATTCATTTCACCGACAAATCTTCACCAACATTATTTCGAAGTTATCCTTTTTTGGTAGTTAATTGTCGGTGAAATGTGTGAAATGATTGTCGATGAAATAATACGGACCCAACCTATCACTATAGGCTTCCGGATAACCGTCTAAGGATTAGTGTCTACGCCATAAGGTCGTGAGTATCGTCGTATTTAACTAAAAGTAGGAGAAGTCAGCTCCGTTTGAGATTGCTCTCCCGCGATTGTTGACTCGACAAATCTAAACATTCCTTCTGAATATTATTACTATTAGTTTAGCATTTATATAAATAAATATACTTATTGGCCCTGCGATTTGCAGCAGCTTCCGAAATCATTGAGTAGATTCGATCTTGTCCATCGAATCCTGAATACTTACTAGTAAACGCGTTTTACTTATTCCCCGACGGACTATCGAAATCGATAGGGGGTAGTGTTATAATTGTAACAAGCAAGAATCTGCAAGATCGAACATAAGATTCGTGAACATATAATAATAAACGTCACTAGCTGTATTAGTGATTTGAGCAGGAGTAGAGGCTAGCCAAGACTTATATATATTCATTGCTTCGTATAGTTTAGCCTCGAGAACTAGCAGTTGTACAAATCAACATCGAGAACTTAAATACCTTTTGTGTTTCGATATTTGGAGATCATCTTACAATGTGGTCTCTAATAGATTACATCCTCCAACTAACGCCATATTCCGAATTATCTGGCCGACTGCATCCTGCGGCGTCAGTAGTCGTTACGTTTGTACTATTGGTTGTAGGATACATCATTGGTAGTTCTATAACGAATAAATTGTTTGGAAAAGATAATTTTCCTGTGAAAGACAAGGTGAGGCTATTATCCTCAAGTAAACTATTGGAGGACTATCGGTAACGAATTGATTCTCATTTTTAATTAATTAGCATGTTTTCATTGCGGGGGGTAGTCAAGGGCTCGGAAAGGCACTGGCGATTTTATTAGCCAAGAAGGGCGCACATGTTACCATTGTAGCTAGGAACAAACAAGCACTTGATGCTGCAATCGATGAAATACAGGTAAAACTTGTTTACAGCATTCCTACTGGAGGTTTTCTCAATTGTATGCCTCTTTCTCAATTACCTATCGTATCAAAAGGCAGAAAAGCTTTACCCTCACCAAACCATAACCTCGGTTGCAGCGGATGTGACAGATCATTCACAGGTTGTGCGTGCATTTGACGAGGCAGCTGCTAAACATGATGGAAAGACACCCGATTACCTTTTTTGTTGTACAGGTAATGATTACAGACCTAATCTGAGACATCTTATGTTTGTCGTAGGTATCTGGTCGCGTCTGATACCTTCATAATATTTGAACACTTTGTCCCTTTCTTCTTTTTTACTAGGTGCTGCTCGTCCTCGCCTTTTCCTTGAGCATTCGATTCAAGAGTTTGAGGATGCAATGAGACTGAACTACCTTGGATCTCTTTCTGTTGCCCACGTGAGTAACTAGTGTCAGTGGTATTTACCTCCCCTTTGATAACTGAATCTTCTTTCCATGCATGTTACTAGGAGGGTGTAAAGCGTATGGTTCATCATGGTGTGAAAGGGAAAGTTGTATTTGTTAGTTCTACATTGGGTTTTGTCGGATTCATTGGATATACAGAATATGCTCCTAGCAAATGTGCATTGAGAGGTATCATTGATAATATCGGAATTCACATGGCTTTCGTCTTATAAAATAAGATGACTCAGTTGCTTTCCCTTCAGGATTATCCGAAAGCCTCCGTAGTGAATTGCTATTGTATGGTATTGACGTTCATTGCTTTTTCCCCGGGGCCATTCGATCACCTGGATTTGAAACCGAGGTTTGTCGATATCGGGCAAGATTTTAAAATGCGGGACTCGAATCATACAAGTTGGTTAAAGACACTTTTTGTTTAACAACGTGAAACGTATAGAACAAGACTAAGCCAGAGATAACGAAACGATTGGAAGGAGAAGACGAGGCCTCACCCCCCGACGTAATCGCTATGGCATTATATAAAGGTACTTATTTACCAGATATTGCTCATGAATTGCGAATTTTATTAACCACATACCATCTTTAAATCACTCAAAGGGTTGCGTAAAGGACAATTTTTCATAACGAGCGACCTATTGACGGATATTCTGAGAGCAGGGACACATGGAATAACACCAACCAACAACGTTATAGTTGACGTGTTGTTTGACTGCATCTCATGGGTATGTTTGTCGTCTTATTGTTATATTATAAAATCTAACGCATCATGTAACAAGCGTTCAACCTTCCATATTTTATAGATTATTGCGTTTCCGTATATATGGTATTTTGACTGGCAAGTGAGATCCGCGGCAGACAAGCATATTATTAAGACAGCTGATGATAATATTCATTAAAGTAGTTGATAGTGAGAATTTAAATAAAAAACATCAATTCGACAGCGAATAAAATACAGACTATGAGAAACGCGTGACAAAAGTAGCCGGTCAATCATGCTAGCAAACTTTAAAGAACGACCTTCACACCGCCTTCCCATGCGAATACTCTTCCGGGACGTCTCTCTCTCTCTCGCCTCAATGACATCTTTAACGCCTCCTAAACTCTCATGTCTTTTCTCAAGTGTTCGACCCATCGCATTATTTCAGGATACTCATGATTATAATCAAACTTTGGCCGCCACAAGTGGCGAGCCTCAATGGTCTCTGGATCAAAACTCAATTTATTGCTCTCACCCAAAGCTGCCTTCTTACATCCGCAGCCCTTCCAGTGCTAACTTTTGGGTTCTGGCTCTTTGACAAACATGGATCCTCTTTCTTTCCCATAAATCCGTTCATTTGTTTAAATTGATCACAACATTTTGTCCTTCGTTCTTCTCTTTCGTTAGATTTAATCCGATCATCGAACCTTCTCCACCTTTACTTTCCATTTCGTTACTATCCATCATATTTCAATCACCATTCCATCTGCCCGCTCTTCTCATTAGATTTTAAACCGATCCTCCCATCTTCCGCTTCGGCCTTCTATCTCATTAAATGTTGAACCGATCGTTCCCTTCGTTCTTCTCTATCAATAGACCTCGTCGAGTTCAAATTCTTCTCTTTAGCATCTTCTGCTTCGATCTTCTCTCTCCTTAGAATTAAACCGTTCTTCTTCTCTTCCAATCTTTCTCTCCGATTTTCTCTTCAATTAGGTTTAAACCGACCATCATCACCCCCCAACCTTCCCTTTCTTTCTCTATCATAATGTTTAAACCAATTGTTGAACATGTACGACGTTTTATTGTTACACTTCAAAGACGAAAGCGCATCAAATCTAACAATATGTCTCCTGATAACGCAGTTAATAGAAAGCCATTTCTGTACATTTATTACAGTTAGTAACAGTTGATTTTGTGGACAAAAATAAAGAGGGAAGAGGTGGAAAAAGAAGGTCACCATTTAATCGATATCCGGCTATTTAACTGTTGATATTATCCTCAAAACAATTTTTTGAAAAATCTTCCATTAATTCTCTTCTCTTCACCATGATCCATCTCCTCACGCTCCGGTTTAGTTTCCACTATCTCTTTATCCGCTTTTTTGATTAGGCCTTCATCCACATGCTTAATTACATCATCGACTTCATCTTCATGTGGCATATTCTTATACTTTTCGCTATCAATCTTCTTTGGATTCAAATACCATAACCACTTTTGTGCTCCTGCAGGATAACCCAATTGAGTCAGCTCCTCATCACGCGGTTTTCGTTTGGTTATCAATCCCTGCCCTTTCATGTGGACTAGAACTTTGCGCTTTAAGTAAGTTGAACTGCCTAGTGCAGGGAACTCGGTTACATGCTTATGAAGTTGTTGCGTGGTTTGAGGACCGAGTTTGGAGAGGAGATGGATAATTGCGCGTGCAGCAGATGGCTGGGTCGACATTTTACTATATGCGGCGGGAATGTTAGATATGGAGGTTTTTGATCAAAAGAAATTAAAAGTTTTGTTGCAGGAACGTGACTCCGTATTACATCTCCCGCCAGTTAAATCTTTGTCATCTACGAATTTTCGAACTCCATTAAAATTTCCCTTTTAAGGAAGTTCTTAACCCTATGTTGTTCGACGATAATGCCGGTAAGATAATATTCCCGTTCACAGAAGCCTTCTTGGTCTTCAATAGCTCTTTGATTACATATTGAGCAATTGTATTTTAGGAACTTAAAGTTTTATTGCTACAAGCTATGTTGAATAAATAGTTAGACAGGTGTCCGCACATTTTTCGCGTTGTCACTCGATAAGGGAAGTAAATTATTATGATGCTACCAAAAATATTCATTCACCACCAAAGTAGGTAATAGACAAACGCCTTTTCTTTGTGAAGCCTTTCCACTGATTGGCCGATCAGTGAATTAAAAGTAAAATATTTCCTTTCTTCCCATCTTATTTACTATTATTATCTTCTAATAAACAGATAATCACGATGGTGTTATCCGAAGCGACACAATTTATTATGAAGCCCGAATACCGCGACACCCTTGCAATAATAAAGGGTCTACGAAATGGGGCCGTATATGGAGCCAAAGTTAGATTCCCACACGCATTTGTGATGACGTTCCTGTTCAGGGAGGGAAGGTATTTATACATGTAGAAATGGGTACTGTCTATTCGGATTAAGTTTTGAAACGCAAACATTGACTTGCAAGAGGTAACTGAGCGAACGAATTCAAATTCTTGTCATTTAATTACAGTTTGAAGGATAAGTTTTCGTTCATCTTGAGAGCAACTAGACAACATTCGCAAAATCTTGCCTGTTTTGTGACTATATATAAGGCATTGATGTATTTACAAAAAAAATTGCTTGGGCAAGAGTCAAGTAGTCATTCTTTCATTGCCGGTACAGTTGGAGGTTATATTGTTTTTGGAGAGAACAACAATATTAATCAACAAGTGAGTAGAGGCAATGGTTATCTTAATAATATCGACATTCTCTCTGAAATTCGGCTCTTTACTTTTTCTCGAACAGATAGTCTTGTACGTTTTCGCGCGTATTATGATTGGCTTGGCCAAACTGCCGGTCCAACGTAAAGCGATAGACGAACCGATGCATACATTCTCAGTATTTGCTGCCCTTACATGGGGAACTGTAATGTGGCTATTTCGTCATGAACGAAGTGTGTTACAACCATCATTGCAAGCCTCTATGCAATATTTGTATTTAGATTCGGATCATTGGAATTCTCTCAAGAATTTCTTATGGCACAACAAATAGAAACATTAATTTACAAGTGACATAGAAGATATGCAATTAAATAATAACTTTATCTCAATACCGTGTAAAAGTAGATTGTCCATTGTCGATTGTGCCAAGAACTAATTTGCCTCAAATGAGGAAGTCATTTCTTAACCATTCTCAGTTAATTATTATAACTGTACAAATAGATTATTAAAACCGCTCTCGCAAAACGACATGGCGTTGAGAAGAAGGCAGTCAAATAGGTTATCACGTACATTATTGTAAGGTATGGTACACAGATTATAAAATTTACGGTTCATATTCTAAATCGCTTTCTCTCATATTAATATTGCATCTTAGAATGAAAGAATAATCTGTCCAAATGACTGAGAAGACCATGGTAAACTCGGATAAGTGGTGTGCATATGTCGAAGTATGAAAAGTTGAGATTGCAGCTTTCATTGTCTCAGGACATATTGGATTCGATTGTTTAATAACTGCATCTGCAATATGTTTTTATATCAGATTTGATGATCTATTTACTGACAATCTCATACGAAGAGATGGACGGAAGGTGCAAATCACTATAATTCGGCATCACTCTAACATAATGGTGTTGTTATTTCCCGGCCGTTCGGGTATGAATCGCGTCCTATAATTGCCCAGCACATTGAGAAGATATTAACATTTGACACTACGACTATACGCAAAGTAATTGCTGTCCGCCCCATGTGAGCAGGCCCGTGTTGCCTCGTTCACGCATCACGTATAATAGTCAATATTAATTTCTGGTCCTCGATCGGGCTCACTATTTAGCTACAGAGTAAATGTTATACAGTGTGATTAAAACAAATATTGCAGAATTAGTCAAATTATGAGATCTTTGTGCTAATACTAATAAAAAGAATGGTCTGATGATATAAAACACTAGCCTGACTCAAATATTGGTCAAAAGAGGTTTCAGGGTAAATAAATTATTTAAGAAGGATATTGTCATCATTAAACGCGTGCTCTATTGGCATAACCAAAGCCATTGGTGAATATAACCTATCCTTTTGGTTACCTTAGCGCAAAATCAAATTATCATATCCTTTCTGTTATTAGTAGCACTACTTGCGTTTTTCTTATTTCCTCGTTAATCCAACGCTGACATGCTTCACCCAATTTTTTTGTGGGTGTGAGTCGGCTATTACAGTTTATTATGCCGTTCCGCAGCAGGACGAGAAGTATTTCTTTGCGAATGTTTGTTGTTCAAGCAAATAAAGTTTACCTTTTGCAAATATCGCAATAATTTAACGTGTTTAGAATTTTGAAAACCCAGATTTTTTATAACAATTTTATTCCGCTGCACACGGTACAAACACAATGACATGTTAATAAAGAGCGCGAATTTCTAATACAAGAACAAGTCACAAAGATACTACAAAATTGGATTAATTAACTACATAGCGGGTACGATTACGAAGTCACTACAAAGATATTGACTTTTGAAATGTTACAGCGCGTAAATGTAAAACTAACGTTTCTTTATTCAATGCGTAAGTACAATGTAACGTACAGTGTGTAACAAAAAAAAGGAGATATCTTTAAATCATTATTACTCAGTGACCACTGTGTCGATTTTTATGCTTTATGGCTTAAATAAAAGCTTGCAACTCATAAATTTATTCGATAACAATTAATATGGTATACGCTCGCCATTGTTCTCAATAATTAATTCACATCGTCGTTTCATTGAGTTTACTAAGTTAATTGGAGTTGCTCGTGGAATATTTTGCCACTCCTCTTTCATAAATTGTTTTAACTCTCCACAATTTTTGGGCATTCGCCTCTCAACATTGCTTTTAACTGATTTTCAATTGGGTTTAAATCAGGACTATTAGATGGCCAGTCCATAATTTTCGGAATATTTTTCTGAATAAAATCTTTAGCAACTCTACTTGTATGCTTGGGGTCATTATCCTACTGGAATCTCCAGCTCTTGCCAAGCATCTGATTAATTTCAGGAATATGTTGAGCTAAAATTTCAACATAAAAATTTGCATCCATGATTTGTTTAAAGCAAAAGAGAGAAGTTTTTCCTTTTACAAAAATCCACCCCAAGTACAAGCAAAAATTTTTTGTTCTGTCTTTTGGTAAATATACAGAATGAATTGGTCTTTCACCCTTGTGCCACCTTTTCAATGTGTTTCTAAATAATTGGAATGCCATTTCATCAGAAAATGAAAGTTTTTTCCCAATCAACAATTATTATTAAGATGCTGTCTTGCCCACTGTACTCGTTTTTCTTTATGAGTTTCAGTGAGCATTGGCATAGCCATCAGTAGGCTTTTGGAGTAACCAATACGAGACAAATGCCTTGAAAGTTATGTGAGAGATGTTAACATCTTTCCGAGTTAACATATTTGCCAATGTTCTGGTTGAGAGAGTAGTATCTCTTTGAATATACTGTCCCAACACTTTTGAAGCTTTACCAGTAATCTCCTTTGGCTGACTGTTTCCTTTTGCATGAGCTACTACTACACTTCCCGTTTTTTTGAGCTTTTTTATATCCTTATAAATCATAGCAAAAGGTATGTTTATCCTCCTATGTATTTCTTTGACCATTAGTTATGCCTTTATTCCATAAGTGTAATATTAATATTGGTTGACATTGTATTTCTTTGGCAGAAGTCATTTTTTGAACAGCAATTTTTAATAATTGGAAAGACAGAATAATGTGTGTGTTGTAAATAAAAACATGCATCAAGTGTTGTTGTTTATTTTTATTTTTTTTTTAATGATGTGAATTGGAAAATTATACTAATACGTGTTTTTACCAATGTGATGCTACGTTATAAACAGTGACGTATTCTCTCCTAAATTTCTGCATTTCTCCGACGGCGCAGTAACACCAGC